ATGTTTAGAGACAGAATTATAGCTAACACAGACCTCAGTATAGCTAAAAACAGGTAATGTATAGAGAAAGAGACAGAATTATAGCTAACACAGACCTCAGTATAGCTAAAAACAGGTAATGTATAGAGAAAGAGACAGAATCATAGCTAACACAGACCTCAGTATAGCTAAAAACAGGTAATGTATAGATATAGAGACAGAATTATAGCTAACACAGACCTCAGTATAGCTAAAAACAGGTAATGTATAGATATAGAGACAGAATTATAGCTAACACAGACCTCAGTATAGCTAAAAACAGGTAATGTATAGATACAGAGACAGAATTATAGCTAACACAGACCTCAGTATAGCTAAAAACAGGTAATGTATAGAGATAGAGACAGAATTATAGCTAACACACACCTCAGTATAGCTAAAACAGGTAATGTATAGATATATAAACAGAATTATAGCTAACACAGACCTCAGTATAGCTAAAACAGGTAATGTATAGAGATAGAGACAGAATTATAGCTAACACACACCTCAGTATAGCTAAAACAGGTAATGTATAGATATATAAACAGAATTATAGCTAACACAGACCTCAGTATAGCTAAAACAGGTAATGTATAGAGAAAGAGACAGAATTATAGCTAACACACACCTCAGTATAGCTAAAACAGGTAATGTATAGGGATGTGCGATTTTATCGGTATACCGGTATATCACGATTTTTTGTTGCGTGATACGTATCGTGATACGGAGACCTAAATACCGGTCTTTAGGTACATATTATAAAGTCCAGAAATTATTAATTTATTTGTTCAATCTTTCAAATTACAATTACAGAAAGTATAAAAAAATGTTGTAAAAAGTGAAAAGAACGACATCTTACAGTCCAAACATAATTGATTTTATATACATAAAAATGCCAAGAAAGTAAAATTTTGTTTTTCTAGCATACTTTTTAGCAAAATAATGACTTTTCATATAAAATCATTGTAAAAACTGCTTTTGAAAATATCATGATATTATCGTGATATTGTGGGAAAAAATCGTGATATATCGCGATACGAAATTTTTGGCGATACCCATCCCTGGTAATGTATAGCGATAGAGACAGAACTATAGCTAACACAGACCTCAGTATAGCTAAAAACAGGTAATGTATAGAGATAGAGACAGAATTATAGCTAACACAGACCTCAGTATAGCTAAGAACAGGAGAGATACAGACAGAATCATAGCTAACACAGACCTCAGTATAGCTAAGAACAGGTAATGTATAGGGATATAAACAGTTTTAAAGCTCATGAAAGACCTCAGAAAAGCATAAACATGAAAATGATGTATAGGTATAGAGATAGAGACCAGCCTGTGTCACCAACAAACGTTAGAAAATATAGATGTGTAAGGACTTTTTTTGTTAATTTACAGAACCTGCATAGCCTATGATGAAGGAATGAGGGCCCATTGTTCAACAGCATCTTACTAGTAAGCTCTTTGTTTATACTACTTTTAAAATATTTGGATCACAGTATCTTTTACAGCCATTTGACCTGATCACATATCTTTATTAGGGCCCCGCAAGGATTTGCGGGTGCCCTATAGTAATCACTCTGACTGTCTGTCTGTCTGTCCGTCTGTCTGTCCGTCTGTCATTCTTCCGTCCACAAATTTCCTGTTTTTTCTTAATAACTTTTTTTATGGTAGCCCAATTAAGTTCAAATTTGGTATGGTAGTTCAGTAGGCAAAAAGACATATTTTGATGCTAAGTTTGTCTCTCTATGTCCTCTGGTTTGGAGCTAGGGTGGTGGGGTAGATTCCTTAACTATGCATAAGAATGAATGGGCAACTTTTTTTATGGTTGCCCAATCAAGTAGAAATTTGGTATGGTAGTTCAGTAGGCAGAAATACACACTTTGATGCTAAGTTTGGTTCTCTATGTCCCCTGGTTTGGAGCTGGGGTGGTGGGGTAGATTCCCTAACTTTGTATATAAGAATGCATTGGCAAAGAGAGATAACTGCTGAAGATGTTCCCATTCAGTAAACTGAATGCTGCTATGAGTCCCTCGGGATTAATTAGCTTTCCTCCTGAAGAAAATCCAGAGCATTATCTTTATCTGTCACATTGAGATGAATTACCACCTCTGTCTGCAAATGAAGTTTGTTTTGAAGTTAAGTTAATTTGGAATGCTATGAACACTCTGAAATGTGGATTTGAATATAAAATTTTATAATTTATTTTTTTTTTGTTTTATATTTATGATTTCATTGAATTCTAAAAACAAGAAAAAGATTAAAGAAGATTTTTTTTATTTACTTTTTTTCACTTTATGTTAATTCAAGAATATTATTAATTTTTTCACTTTATGTTAATTCAAGAATATTATTAATTTTTAAGGTAGTTGTATAAAAACCCCATTCTATCATTAATACTGAAAAAGTTCTTATTATAACTTTAGAAGAAAATGATGAGAGAGGTACAATTAATCCCTTGGGATTAATTATCTAGCCTGCCGCAGAAAATTTAGTAGGCTTTTCTGTATCTGTCACTTTAAAATTAATGAAAACATTTGTCTGCAACTGCTGTTTGTTTGAAGTTAAGGTCAAGCCTTCATGTAATATTTGCATCTTCATTGAAGGCTGGCATTTTATATAACACAAGTTTCATAATTGTTTAAATATATATTTAATGTTAAGTTGTTCTTTACTGCCTAATGTAAATACGAGGGTATTATTTTCAGGTTTTTGAATATTCAGGAATTATCTTGAAATTTTAAGAATACAGTTGCTGTTGCTTATTTTACATACATTTTCTAATCATTCTGTAAGCTGCACCCTTTTAATTCTACCCCATGGCGGGGCCCTTGCTGACTGGTCAGTTTTCTAGTGATGTCTAAGAATCATTTGTAGTGCTCATCTTGCTGTCTGTGTGCTTCTATTAGGCCCTGAAAGAATTTGCTAAATCTCTTTAAAAATCATCTTCTATTATAATCTCACTTCATTAGAGAAGTTAAATCTTGCAATCATTGAGTTAAAGAATAATCCTATGATTTCCATTTTTGTAGAGCTTTAATGATCTCACCTCATTGGAGAAGATTAATCTTGCACTTCAGGGACAAATACGAATACAAATGTTTTTCTCCTTTGTTGACTATATACACACTGTGCCTTGTACTAAAGAATGCTTATAATAAATAATGAACCTTTTTTACTTTTCTTTTAGCCATCCCGAATCTCCTGACAGAATAACACGAATATTTGACAAACACACAGAGTGGGGGCTGACTCAGAGATGTACTAGGGTAGAGGTGAGTACTGAGTCCTATACACAGAGTGGGGGCTGACTCAGAGATGTACTAGTGTAGAGGTGAGTACTGAGTCCTATACACAGAGTGGGGGCTGACTCAGAGATGTACTAGTGTAGAGGTGAGTACTGAGTCCTATACACAGAGTGGGGGCTGACTCAGAGATGTACTAGTGTAGAGGTGAGTACTGAGTCCTATACACAGAGTGGGGGCTGACTCAGAGATGTACTAGGGTAGAGGTGAGTACTGAGTCCTATACACAGAGTGGGGACTCACGCAGAGATGTACTAGGCTAGAGGTGAGTACTGAGTCCTATACACAGAGTGGGGACTCACGCAGAGATATACTAGGGTAGAGGTGAGTACTGAGTTCTATACACAGAGTGGGGACTCACGCAGAGATATACTAGGGTAGAGGTGAGTACTGAGTTCTATACACAGAGTGGGGGGCTGACTCAGAGATGTACTAGTGTAGAGGTGAGTACTGAGTCCTATACACAGAGTGGGGGCTGACTCAGAGATGTACTAGTGTAGAGGTGAGTACTGAGTCCTATACACAGAGTGGGGGCTGACTCAGAGATGTACTAGGGTAGAGGTGAGTACTGAGTCCTATACACAGAGTGGGGACTCACGCAGAGATATACTAGGGTAGAGGTGAGTACTGAGTTCTATACACAGAGTGGGGACTCACGCAGAGATATACTAGGGTAGAGGTGAGTACTGAGTTCTATACACAGAGTGGGGGGCTGACTCAGAGATGTACTAGTGTAGAGGTGAGTACTGAGTCCTATACACAGAGTGGGGGCTGACTCAGAGATGTACTAGTGTAGAGGTGAGTACTGAGTCCTATACACAGAGTGGGGGCTGACTCAGAGATGTACTAGGGTAGAGGTGAGTACTGAGTCCTATACACAGAGTGGGGGCTGACTCAGAGATGTACTAGGGTAGAGGTGAGTACCGAGTCCTATACACAGAGTGGGGGCTGACTCAGAGATGTACTAGTGTAGAGGTGAGTACTGAGTCCTATACACAGAGTGGGGGCTGAGTCAGAGATATACTAGGGTAGAGGTGAGTACTGAGTTCTATACACAGAGTGGGGACTCACGCAGAGATGTACTAGGCTAGAGGTGAGTACTGAGTTCTATACACAGAGTGGGGGCTGACTCAGAGATGCACTAGGGTAGAGGTGAGTACTGAGTCCTATACACAGAGTGGGGGCTGACTCAGAGATGTACTAGGGTAGAGGTGAGTACCGAGTCCTATACACAGAGTGGGGGCTGACTCAGAGATGTACTAGGGTAGAGGTGAGTACAGTCCTTTACCCCACCTCTGTCGATTTTTCCGTGAAATCCTGGCTTACGATTGGTTGAAGTCTGTCACGTGAAGGCGGTGGATTACTTATACCCGGTCAGTTGTAAATCCATACCCGGTCAGTTGTAAATCAATACCCGGTCGATGCATTACGTCACAAACACAAACGTGACGTCATAATAGGCACAGTATAAGCGTGATGAAGCATTTAGCAGAGAAAACCATTTATAAACTACAGATAAAACGTAAATGTTTCATCGGTGGGGTAAATTCGTTACATAGTCTTTTAGTGACAGGGTATGGGATGATACCTGGTTAGTAAATTTCATACCTGACTCGGCTCCGCCTCGCCAGGTATGAAATTTACTAACCAGGTTTCATCCCATACCCTGTCACTAAAAGACTATGTAACTAATAATACCCAGAGTGGGGGGCTGACTCAGTGATGTACTAGGGTAGAGGTGAGTACTGAGTCCTATACACAGAGTGGGGGCTGACTCAGAGATGTACTAGTGTAGAGGTGAGTACTGAGTCCTATACACAGAGTGGGGGCTGAGTCAGAGATGTACTAGTATAGAGGTGAGTACTGAGTCCTATAAACAGAGTGGGGGCTCACTCAGAGATGTACTAGAGTAGAAGTGAGTACTGAGTCCTATACACAGAGTGGGGACTGACTCAGAGATGTACTATGGTAGTGGTGAGTACTGAGTCCTATACTCAGTGTGGGGACTCACTCAGAGATGTACTAGGGTAGAGGTGAGTACTGAGTCCTATACACAGAGTGGGGGCTCACTCAGAGATGCACTAGGGTAGAGGTGAGTACTGAGTCCTATACTCAGAGTGGGGGCTCACTCAGAGATGTACTAGGGTAGAAGTGAGTACTGAGTCCTATACACAAAGTGGGGACTCACTCAGAGATGTACTAGGGTAGAAGTGAGTACTGAGTCCTATACACAGAGCAGGGACTGAAACAGAGATGTACTAGGGTAGAGGTGAGTACTGAGTCCTATACACAGAGGGGGGGGGGGGGGGCTCACTACCATTTATTAACATAATACATGTATTTCAATACAGTTGAACTTTGGTATGTTGAACACTGATATCTCAATTACATCTACCATGGATTTGAAGTTCCTTCCACCTATTTCTTTTGGTATTCTACCCTTGATTATTCAAAATCTTGGATATCTAAAAGTTTTTCTCAGTCTAAATGAGTTCAGTATAACAGGGTTTGACTATATATAAATAATCAAGGATTAGAATGTAGTTTGACTCATGGACATACTGCTAAATGCTGGGAAACTCAGTAACACAATTTCAATATCTGTTCCAGACACGGATGGCAACAGAAGCAGAACTGACACTCATCCACAGGTTTGTTTTGAATATCAGGATTCTTAAAAAGTAAAGATGTCTGTCACATTCTTCAATTGATTAATTAAAATTTTATAATTTCAGTTCAGCTCATGTTGAAGAGATAAAGAGTTTTGAAGATAAAAATCCATTTGAGTTGAAAAGATTGGAGTCAAATTACCAGTCAATCTATCTCTGCAAAGTAATTTTATTTATTTACCTCATATCATATAAAATAGAATTTAATAGTAAATGTAACTGGAATATTATATCAAACTTTCGGAAAGCAATGTATTTGTAAGATACTGTTCAGGGGAAAGTAAACTATGGTCAATGTGTTAATCGTACAGTATTCACACTTTAGATAAAGTAGTGAATTTAGTTTAAAAGAACTGAACTAATTTCAAGATAAATGATTGTTGAAGTCTAGCATGAATGCAGCAAAACTCGTTTAGTACGAACACGGATATTGTGAATTTATGGTTATAGCGAAGTCATCTTGAATCCCCAGCTAATAAAATTTAATGACTTTTCTATATGGTTATAACAAATTACGGATATAGCAAAGTAATTTCACAGGTCCCAGTGACTTCATTATGACCGAGTTTTACTGTATTTGTTTCTGTGAGCAAATTAAAAAAAAATTGTGGTTAGTAGCTAGAAGAAAAAAAAATTACAGGTAATTGAAATTAGTCATAAGCCAATTCAAACCCTCTACAGAAATGACTTTTCACAGGGAAAATTGAAACCTTTTATGTTTATGTAATGGTTTTAAACCTGAGTTTTTATAGTTGTTTATAGTGTTTTATATAACAATGCTGTACTGTTGTAGGACTCTTACTTTTGTGCGCGGATGGCTGCTGGATTTGTGTTGGATGTGGTGGATAATGTGATGACAGGACAGGTGAGGGTATTGAGATCCTGATCATGGTCTGGGAAATCACTCATTTTCAGAAGGAGGGGGGATGGTGGTAATTTTTGTTGTTTTCAAGGTGTGGAGAAACCCGCGAAATGTAAATGTCATATACAAAACTACCCAATAATTCTTCATCTAATGAAAATACCCCCCCACCCCTGAAAATTAGTGATTTCACAGTCAAATAAATATAGGAATTATGTTGCACTACATAAACTATGTGAAAATTTATATGGTATGAAATGATAACTTAATAATTCCGTGTTTTGGAATTACAGAGTCAAAATGGGGTTGCAATAGTGAGGTAAGATTCTAGATTCAAATTTTATTGAAATTGTGGAATGAAAATGTTAGTCTCACTTTGGTTTGAATTGTATTCTTGATTGATCAGAACAAAGGTGGGTTTTCTTTGGTATGGCATTGATACTGGATCGGAGCAGTTGAATTTGTTTTATTTTTAGACCTCCTGGACATCACGCTGAGTGCTCCCGAGCCATGGGTTTCTGTTTCTTTAATAATGTAGGCATTGCAGCCAAGTATGCTCAAAGCAAGTATAATGTCAAAAAGTAAGTTTGGCCATGTAATATGTCTAATAATAGACTATTAGATATAATTGTTTGAAGTCAAAATATAATGTTGAGATTATAAAAAAAATCTATGATTGTTTGTTACTTCAAATAAAAACTGTAGTTGTAATTAAGGTATGTGTAATTCTTCTTTTCTTAAAAGTGAGGTGAATCTAAGCCCTAAATAAAAAAAACCCAATTGATGTTTCAGAGTTTTAATTGTTGACTGGGATGTACATCATGGTAATGGTACACAACATCAGTTTTATGAGGACCCAAGGTATTTTCTATCCCTTGTATATGTATATTTCTGACTTGGAAGCATCGTAAAATATAATATGACCTGTATATTGAACATGAAGGTCAGTTCTGAAGTAAAAAATTTTCACGAATCTTTTGGAAAACAAATTGAACATTCTGGTATAAAAGTAAAGTTATAATTCATGAGGGAGCCTGTCTTCATTTAAATTTGATGTTTGATTTCATTTTAATTTTAAATTTTCTATAATTCCTCTTTAGTGTCCTTTTTATAAGTCTTCATCGTTATGACCGGGGTTCCTTCTATCCCTGCACAACTGAGGGGTGCCACACCAAAGTGGGAGCAGGGGAGGGGACAGGCTTCAATGTCAACATCCCATGGAACAATGTAAATCACTGTTACAGCTATAACTTTTCTTAATTTAGGGAATAACTAATCTTCTAATTTGGTATTTGCAACCGTTAATGCTGATTTAACAGTCACAAACTGAGTTTTACCGGTGACACGTAAGCGGAGCCGGTAAAACTGATGTTTGCGACTGTTAAATCAGCATTAACAGTCACAAATACCAAAATGGAAGATAGTTACTGTATAGGGGATTAATTTCACGGGTTGTAATTTTCACGGTTTTCTCTCATCGGACACGATCGTGGTTTCTTGAATTCGCGGAATTCTTATGTTATAGAAGTTGCCTCCCTTGTCTATATCCGTTTAATCCATACCATAGCTACATGTAAACGACATTCATCATTGTTATGTCTTTATTTCACGAACAATAGGGTAGGTTAATATAACATAGTTAGACTTAATAAATAATTGACGATTAATTAAAACAGGTGCAGTTATCAAAAGTCCTTGACTATAAACGTCAAATGACTTTTTCTGTATATGCTATTACAATGAGTGCATGTACACCCCAAGATCTTCAAAACAACACGACGAAAAACCACTGGACGGTAATAAATGTGTTAATGTATAGGTCGACATGAAATAATATCCTTCCAAATCTTCAGTAAGTTTGATAGTTATTTGAATGATTTTTTTAAAATCAAAATGTCGATAAAAACTATAATATGCATGATAGTGCAGGTAATGCACACACCATGCGTGGTAACATTAGTTACGCACGGGTAATCAAAACTCATGGCCCATGTGTTTTGACTGATGAAACATGAAGCGTTAGCTATTTAGAAGCCTTTTAACTAATACATGTTATTATCTGTTGACTTAAATTAATGTAAAGCGTGCTAATTAAAATAATTGAATGACAAGTACTACTCGTAATTACTTAAATGACCATGTACTGTGGTACATGTATTTAAACCTATCGTAGTCTATTCTCAGATTTCCAAATAAAACATGGAGATTATTGAAAATATTATTCACTGTTTCTTGAATTCACGGATTTATTATCACCGTGAATATAGCGAATATTAACACCGCGAGTTATTTTCCCCCTATACAGTATTCCCATTCTAATGCAATCTATGCATTCTGTTTATTGTTTACGTCTTATTTTAAATTTTATGACATGAAACATGTCACGGAGCATTGTGTTTTTGTGTCACTCTATTATGACGTCACAAAGCTTTCACTCTCGTTTATGCTTGTTTTACTGCTTCAAACATCAGTGCATTAGCCAACCAAAACGTGTTTTACAAAACAATTGCATTACAATACTGTATACAGGGCTATTTTTGCCCCATGTTATTTTCGCCCTTTCACACTTGCAGACAATTTTACCCCTTTAAATTCAGTCATAGTTTTATTTTTTATAAAATTATACTGTATTCTTTGAATTCGTCCTATATTAAAATTGCCCAATTGAGGGTTGGTGAGAGGGGCGGAATTAAAATGGGGCAAAAATGTCCCTGTATACAGTAAATTAGAGAAAATTTAATCAAGAAATTCATTTAATTTGTTTCTGAAAATATTATGATATTACTGAATTCAATTTATTGTATAATGTGGACAAAGTGATTAAAATGAAAAAGAATAATGATCTGACTATTGTATATCACAGGGACCTATGGGGGATTCTGAGTATATTGCGGCCTTCCAACAAGTGGTCATGCCGATAGCTTATGAGGTAGGGATCTACTTAGGATCAATGCCAGAAATTATTGTACTGGTAGAAGTCTTTATATGTCCTTTAAAATACATGACTGTATACAAACATGAGAGAAAAATATTTCATTATATTATATTGACAACATATCATATCCCTTTCCTTTATTCAGTTTTATTAATATATCTTGTAATCTATACTTGTATATAAGGTCTTTTACAGTGATACTTTTCTTGCAGTTTGGTCCGGAGCTGGTTCTGGTTTCGGCTGGATTTGATGCCGCTATGGGAGATCCTCTGGTACTACTTTTCTCTTAATATACCCCAGCTTCCTTTTGAAGAAAGGAGTTAGGGGTTATTTCACATGGCAGGAGCCATTCTTGTTATCATAACTGCAACCAAAGATGACAGTTGATGTATTCACAAATTAAAGAAAATAGAACTAAATTATAAATTTCTTTTGATGTTTGATGCCATAAAGTTTTTCAGGCTTTTGATTTTAAGTCTGTCAGGAATTTTAAATAGGGTAAGACCTTGACTACTCCAGTTAAAGACTTAATATTTGATCCAACAGAATGTCAAATAGAAAGCCTCTTGCCAGGTCAAGGTAATAGTCTAGTTTAAAGGTCCTCTTTGACTTTCACTGTTTTGGCAGTGCACAAACAGGTCTTTTTATTCTGGAGTCATGTGTTAAAATATTCCATATATGCTTGTATTATATAAGTCCTTGTTGTTTGAAAAAAATGTGTAAATTAGAATGAAAAAAGCTCTTCGTTTTTCATTATGATCGAGATACAAACATTATAGGGATGTTACTCACTAACACCGGCTGGATATGGTCACATGACCCACATGCTCTCATCACTGGCCAATGGAAAAGTAGTCCTTGTGTTGGAAGTGAGTACATTTTAAAACTGTACATGTATATTTAAATAGTTGATAAACTTGATGAACAGCAGTATGAAGCTGGAGAATTATACTTTGATATATCATAATGCAGTTGTACTTTGGTATTTCAAACACATATCTTAAATATCATAAACATGTCAAAATGATTTGCAAAACCGAACCACTTATTCTTTATGAATTTTATCCTTGATATCTGGAATCCTCAGATATTTTTATTATTACCCATTGAGTTCAAGATAACAAGGCATGACTGCACATATGTATCTTTCAATTTCAGGATTGTGTGTTTGCTTTGTGTGTGTACTTTAAGATCTTGTTTTAGCTTTGTAAGATAAATCAAATGGAATAAATATTTTTTGGCTACTGCTTTTACATATTTATAAATTAACCATATTTTGTAGGGAGGGTATCACCTGGCAGCCATATCTAATTCCATGGCCATGTGTACATCTATCTTACTGGGAGATGGCTGCCCACACCTCCCCTATGTCCAGACTAAGGACAGGTAAAATATATCTGATCACCTGTACATAAAGACAGGTAAAATATGTCTCATAACATCTGTATGTAAGGACAGCTAAGATACTGTAGAAGTGGGAAATATTATGGTGTATTTAATATCATTATGTTCACGATTTAAGAATTTTCTGTGAACTTTAAACCATCAAGATTATTTTTTCACTTCATTTCTACCTAAAAAGAGGAATAGCATCTGAATATTTTAAACAATTCTCAGTGAAATTAAAACCGTCGGAAAGGTAACTTTTAACAAACCGTGAAATTTTAGACACGTGAAATTAAAGACGTCTACAGTACATCTTATTATATGTATATAAAGACAGTAAGATATTTCTACCAGTATGTAAAGACAGATAAGATAAATTTCACCACTTGACAGAGACAGGTTAGATCACCTGTACATAAAGACAGGTAAGATATTTCACAAATCCAATACTTTTGAAAAATTTCATTTTGGAGCATCAGTCCCACAATATAGGTAATACCTTTCTAATCACCTGTTCTTACAGGAAAATAAGTCACTAATCTCCTAAATTTTCTTATCCTTATTATACCCCCCGCAAACGAAGTTTGGGGGGGTATATAGGAATCACCTTGTCAGTCTAGCTGTCTGTCTGTCCGGTGTCCGGTCCATATCTTTCTTACGGAGGGACATTAGAATCTACTACTCCACACAAAGATTGCCCATGACCTAAGGGTGTGTCATGAGCTTGACCCAAGGTCATTTGGGGAAGTTCAAGGTCACTGGAAGAAAAACTTCTTTATTCATGTCCAGTCCATATCTTTCTTATGGATAAACTTGGTAGGTTCTCATTTCACACAAAGATTGCCCATGACCCAAGGATGTGTCATGACCTTGACCCAAGGTCATTCGGGGAAGTTCAAGGTCACTGGAATAAAAATTTCATAATCATGTCCGGTCTACATCTTTTTAGCTCACCTGAGCCGAAGGCTCAAGTGAGCTTTTCTGATCACATTTTGTCCGTCGTCCGTCCGTCAGTCTGTCTGTCTAGCTGTCTAGCTGTTCGTCCGTCTGTAAACTTTTCACATTTTCGACTTCTTCTCAAGAACCACTAGGCCAATTTTGACCAAAATTGGTACAAAACATCCTTGGGTGAAGGGAAATTTAAATTGTGAAAATGAAGGGCCAAGTCCCCTCACAAGGGGAGATAATCAAGAAAAGACAAAAATAGGGTGGGGTCATTAAAAAATCTTCTTCTCAAGAACCACTGGGCCAGAAAAGCTGAAACTTATGTGGAAGCATCCTGAGGTAGTGTAGATTCTAAAATGTCAAAATCATGACCCCCAGGGATATGGCGGGGCCACAATGGGGAATCAAAGTTTTACATAGAAATATATAGGAAAAATCTTTAAAAATCTTCTTCTCAAGAACCATTGGGCCAGAAAAGCTGAAACTTTTGTGGAAGCATCCTTAGGTAGTGCAGATTCTAAATTGTTAAAATCATGACCCCCGGGGGTAGGGCGGAGCCACAATGGGGAATCAAAGTTTTACATAGCAATATATAGGAAAAATCTTTAAAAATCTTCTTCTCAAGAACCACTGGGCCAGAAAAGCTGAAACTTATGTGGAAGCATCCTTAGGTAGTGCAGATTCTAAATTGTTAAAATCATGACCCCAGGGGACAGGGCGGGGCCACAATGGGGAATCAAAGTTTTACATAGAAATATATAGGAAAAATCTTTAAAAATCTTCTACTCAAGAACCAATGAACCAGAAGAGCTGAAACTTATGTGGAAGCATCCTGGGGAAGTGTAGATTCTAAATTGTTCAAATCATGATCCCCGGGGGTTGGGCGGGGCCACAATGGGAAATCAAAGATTTACGTAGAAATATATAGGAGAAATCTTCTTCTCAAGAACCATTGGGCCAGAAAAGCAGAAAATTCTGTGGAAGCATCCTGGGATAGTGTAGATTCTAAATTGTTCTAATCATGACCCCCAGGGGTAGGACGGGGCCACAATGGGGAATCAAGTTTTACAATGTTGAATCAAAGCATCCTATGGTAGTGTAGATTTCGAATTGTTTAAATTATGATCAGTTGGGTAGGGTGGGGTCACAATATGTATTACAAGGGGGAAATCTGGTAAAGAACAGAATGTTCAAAGCTTCTCAGGTGAGCGATGTGGCCCATGGGCCTCTTGTTTATGGATAAACTTGGTAGGTTCTCATTTCATGCAAAGATTGCCCAAGACCCAAAGGTGTGTCATGACCTTGACCCAAGGTCACTTGAGGAAGTTCAAGGTCACTGGAAGAAAAAGTTCATAATTCTTTTCCGGTCCATATCTTTCTTATGGATAAACTTGGTAGGTTCTCAATTTCACGCAAAGATTGCCCATGACCCAAGGATGTGTCGTGATCATGACCCAAGGTCATTTGATGAAGTTCAAGGTCACTGGAAGAAAAATTTCATAATTCGTGTCCAGTCTACATCTTTTTTATGGATAAACTTGGTAGGTTCTCATTTCACACAAAGATTGCCCATGACCCAAGGGTATGGGTCAAGGTCATTTGGGGAATTTCAAGGTCACTGGAAGAAAAATTTCATAATTCATGTGTGATACATATCTTTATTATAGAAAAACTTACTTCTGAAAAAACCCAGCGGGGGTATTTTGTCCCGTTTGGACAGTTCTAGTTATGCTTATAGTCTTAAACAAGGAAATAGTTTCAACTGCTCCTCTAAAAAAGTTCCCTAAAATTGAAACAGTCAATTTGGTTTTAAAGGAGGAATTTATTAGGAATATCAATTATTTCACTATGCTATGAGGCCTTTAAAGTGTCAAATATTGTGTTTAAGAGTTTTATTTCCTTTATAGTCCAACATACTATGTTCATTATTTGTGTTAAAGATGCATGTTTGATGTGGTTAAAACATATATGTGCATGTTGTTAAAACATGCATAAAATTCAATTTCTGTCATTATTGTTTTCTGCAATAAATACTGAATAATTGATTTTTAAGTTATATAACTTTTTTCAGTGCTGTGAAATGTATACAAGATGTTTTAGATGTACAGAAGCAGTATTGGAAGTCATTGAAATTCAGAGGT